AAAAGGGGGGGGGGGGGCTCCAGGAAGTGAGGTGAGAGGGGATACCCGTCGAAGCACCATGGGGTGTGGGGAACGTACGCCAGTTGCGTTTTGGCCCTTGTTACGCAGGCGAGTGCGCTCGGTGCAAGCCGCCTGGATATCGTTTGCCAACGCTTGGGCCGCGTCAAAGTCGTCCAGCCTAGCAGCAGAGAGATTCCAAGAGGTGAGGGCCGATGTCGTACTTTGGTTCTTCCGTCGCGACAGCGGTACAGCGCAAATCAAAAAAAAAAAAAAAAAAAAAAAAAAGGGAGAGAGATCGAGAGAAGACTTGGAGAGATAGGGTGTGTAGACTCAGAGAGACAGAAGGAAAGACAGAAGGAGAGACAGAAGGAGAGACAGAAGGAGAGACAGAAGGAGTCAGCAGTGGAGGCGGTCAGTGAGACAAATGGAGCCAGAGATCAAGACAGAGAACAGGGAGCGAGAAAGCAACGAGGAGACAGACTGAGAGACAGCGCCAAAGATGAACAAACGAAAAGAGATGAGAAGAAGAGATAAACACAAGGCGAGAGAGAGCGAGAGAGAGAGAGAGAAAGCGAGAGCGAGAGAGAGAGAGAGAGAGAAAGCGAGAGAGAGAGAGAGCGAGAGCGAGAGAGCGAGAGAGAGCGAGAGGGAGCGAGAGAGAGCGAGAGGGAGCGAGAGGGAGAGAGAGCGAGAGAGAGCGAGGGACCAAGGGGTCTGCTCATGTATCGCTCACACACACACACACACACACACACACACACACACACACACACACACACACACGCAACGCACGCCACGCGAGAGAGAAATGCAACGACGACGATGATGACGATGACCGGACAGGGACAACAAGTCAAGTCGAGCATTCAAACAACAAGAAAAAGAGGCAACAGCTCATCATCAACTCGAGAGCACGGGGGATGTACATGCAAAGGGAGCAAGTGTGGTGTGCGTGCACTGCCGTTGACACGCAGCCGGCTGATCACACACACACACACACACACACACACACACACACATTGACAGACTCCTCCACCAACGCCAACGCCAGCAAGAGCTCACGATTCAGTAGCACACACACACACACACACACACACACACACACACACACACACACACACACACACACACACACACACACACTGACTGACTAGGGTTCGGGTTGGCGGACGGCTCGCTGCCGTTTGACGTACGAGAGAGAGAGAGAGAGAGAGAGAGAGAGAGAGAGAGAGAGATTTTATTTTTTTTCTCTCAAAAACATTCAAAAAAACCGTAAAAAACACCTTTTTGAGATGAGGCAGAGAGAGGGACGGGCTTTGGTGTGTTGGGGAGAGAGACGACGCGCCGCCGCGGCAAGCGCAGAGAGACGAGCACAAACGTCGAAACAAGCAATAAAACTAAAGCTAAAAACAGTGCAAACCCAGAGATACAGAGCAAACGAGCAACAAAACCAGAGACATTGACCTCACCCCAACACGAACAAAGAGACTTTCCCCCACACAAAAAAAAAAACCAGAGAAAGCCACTAGTACATGTAGTAAGCTTAAGCGACGTACCAACGACTGCTCATGCTAGCCGTCCGAAGAACTTGTAAACTGTGACTCCCTTCCGCACTGTGCTACTATATAGTGTACTCCTATTACACTTTTACACGCTTCAAGTGTGATAAGTGTTATACTTTACACTTTGTTATCGTGTGATAATGTTACACTTTAGTGTGTGTGTGTGTGTGCGAAGGGGTTGACTGCGATGGGAAGATTTGTATTACTGGAGCAGGCATTTATACCGATGAAACCGATTGTGAAAATATCAGGGGCTGTGTCAGTATGCGAAGACAGTGAAAGCTGTGTATACGTATCGCAGAAACGGTAATCGCCAAATCTGTATGTTCAGAGAAGCGTGCGAGGGCTAAAGAATCTCTTGTGTAAAAGTGAACAGTAATCCAGAGATGTGTGTTCTGATCCATGCTTCCTCAGAGAAAGAGCGTACATATGAGAATACCCAGTGCTCTTATGGAAGACGACGACGCGACGGCTGAGAAGGGAAGGCGAGACGCAAGGTAAAGACGTGAGGCGACGTGCGCGGTGGGGCGCACGGCAAGACAAAGTCCAACGCGAGGGAGACGAAGCTGCAACTGTAGGGACAAAGAGATCCTTCAAGGCATCGGGTTCGTCGTCATTGGTGCATTGAAACCTCGAGTGTCACAGATCCGAGACCGGTAGTCATGATATCGACTCAGCCCCGAGCGTTCCAACGCGATGTATCTCAAGGCTTTTGGAGCCCGGCTTTCGAGCTGCCATTCGTCATAAAACTGCAACTGCAAGTTGTTGAAAGGAGCCTGATCTTTCGAATACGAGCCAAGAGCTTGTGCTTTCCTGTGGTACATTGGGGCAGTGCCTGTTGACTCGGATCAACCTTACCCTAATGCACAGAAATTTTTAGTCCTTTAACCGCCCTTCCCCGCCTATGCCACGCCTGCCCTGCCTACCCCACCACGCCCCGCCTCCCTCTCTCCCTCTCTCTCCCTCTCTCTCTCTCCCTCTCTCTGTGATAAAAGATAGAAAAAAAAACACAAAAATTCGAGCAAAATTCGAGCAAAATTCGACGAAAACTCACACACACACACACACACACACGTGAGTCGTTTCTCTGACATTTTACAGTCAAGACGACGGCATCTCTACCAGTACACACCAAACCAAAGCTTTCTCTTGTCCTCAATCCAATCCTAGATGCATCTCTTATTATACCTTTAAATCATCAAAAAGAACATTTCACCACGAGTCCAATCTCTGAAATTCAATGCTGATAACACGTTCTCTCTGACTAATATCACATGGTCACCTCCCATCTCTCACTTGCTCGCTGCCGCGACCCACGACCACGACCACGACGCGGATCCGGGCTTTGGACTTGCTCGCCATCTGCGGCTCGAGCCCTGCTCTGCTGCGTCGTGCTGTGACGCGCTCTGCACGAGCCCACGGCAAGCATACCACCCGTGCTCTCTCCACAGCTGTGCCCCTCTTTTTATCAACTCACCACGCTCATACCGCCGCCATGACCGAGAAAGGTACTTGCCCGTCTGCTCGTTCCAGCTGCTCGACCCGACTCATCAACACTTCTCCTCCGCCTCCTTCTTCTCCGCCTCCTCCGCCCCTCAATCGGACCTTCCTCTTTTCATTCCTTTGCCAAATCAACAGAAAGCCCGGCTGGGTTTGTCAAGGTCGTCGAGGGCAAGGCCGCCATCCTCTTCCCAGAAGATGAGGGCGTCTTTTACAACCCCGTCCAGGTATCCTCGCCAACCTTGACCTTGACCTTGCACCACCACGCCAGGTCTTCCCCTCCCCTTGGATTCCATTGTTCACCGCCCCTGATCTGCAAAACCCATCTTTTCCTCTTTAGGAGTTTAACCGCGATCTGAGTACCTGCGTTATTCTCAACTTTGCCAACCGCTTCATGCCCGATACCAGCGATCCTTGGGGCAAGAAACACGCCCGCCGAACCTCGCACGCACTCGGCGATCCCCTCTTTGAAGGCTCCCATCGCAAAGAAGCCGAAGAACAAATCAAAGCCCAGGTGCCTAGCACTACTCCTCTCTCCCTTTTCGCTTCTCGTCCCAAAGCTCATCCACACTCTTCTCGACTTTCTTCTGCCTGCCGTGCTCAGTCCCCCGCTGTGGAATCAACTCCTGCGCCTGGTGAGCGGACCATGTACAATCCAAGCGATGCCTCCTTTGATCGCGAAACCCAGGGCATTCGTATCCTCGAAGCCCTGGCCGCCTCGGGCCTCCGTTCCATTCGGTAGGCGGCCTCTCCTGCTCTGACGCTACGCGCGCCCCCGCTTGTGCTAGCGTCCAATGCAGTCGAATCGATGTCCCGCGTCATATTGTTGACCCTACCATCATCGTCGTCGTCCTCGCTCACCCAAACCGCTCTGCTTGCGCTGCTACCGCTCGCCTGTTTTTTTTTTTTTTTTTTTTTTTTTTTTTTGTGGTGCCACAGCTATTACCGGGAAATTCCCGCCATCCGCTCCATCGTGTGCAACGACTTTAGCCAAGCCGCCGTGGAGAACATTCGTCGCAACCTGGCTTACAATGACATTGCAGAAAGCGGCATCATTCCCAACTTTGGTGATGCCAAGTACGCCCGACAAGCCTCGCCATCCCGCGTCCCAAACCATTCCAATACAGCTTTCCTCACTTTCTTTTACTCTGCCTTTGCTACTACCCGCCCTTGGCTGCTTGCACCTATAGCGTTGTCATGCACGACGCGTCGACGCGGCCCGGCGCTCGTTTTGACGTCGTCGATCTGGATCCTTACGGCACCGCCTCCCCGTTTCTGGACGCCGCCGTCAAATCCATCACCGACGGAGGTGCGACCACTCACCCAACTCGCGCCGCTCCTCTCTCCCCACCTTTGCTCTCATACGACAGCAAGCTCTTCGTTTCGCCGTCTTATCCGTTGCTTGCCACGGTCACCATCTCGTCCCTGTCAGGTCTCCTGTGTGTCACTTGCACAGACATGGCCGTGCTGGCGGGTGCCCACCCCGATGCCTGCTACGCCAAGTATGGCTCGGTGTCTCTCAAGGGTCCATTTTGCCACGAATCGGTGCGATTTGGCGTTCACGCACCAGCTGATTCAGCCACCCGTTCTCCAACATTCAAATCTCATGCTGGTCCTTCCATCCCCTGCAGGGCGTTCGCATCCTCCTCAACTCCATCTCTACCGCAGCCGCTCGCTACGGGAGCTATATCCAGCCGGTACTCCCTTTCTTTGCTTGAGATCAAATCACGCCTATGCTTGCTCCCGCCTGTCAAGTTGACCTTCTGCTCACCCACGACATACCGATGCTTTTGCTGCCAGCTCATGTCGTGTTCAATCGACTTTTACTGCCGAGTCTTTGTGCGCGTCTTCAAGGGCCCTGCCAAGGCCAAGCTCTCGGCTCAGTACGCACCCTTTCTCTCGTACCGGGCACTTTGTGCTTTGGCCCCTACCGACAGCATGCGAAATTCTCCCTCGCCTTCTTGCGCGTATCACTCAAGCGTGTTGCCTTTTTCCATGTGTTTGTACAGACACAACGGCGTTGTGTACATGTGCCCGCGGTGCCACAGCTTTGCCTCGGCGTCCTTTGGCCGCTTCGGGGACAAGTAAGCTTGTGTGTAGCTTTACCCGCTCTTTATCTCTGGGCACTATGCAGCTGTCTGCTTATTCACAGTGCACCGAATCCACTCGTTCCGGTCTCTAGAAACAAGTTCCGACATGGCCATGCACCCTCCGTGGGTGATCATTGCCAGCACTGTGGAGGACCTTTTCAGGTGAGCGCTGGGCTTGGTGCATGCAGCCGCTGCCTTGGCTCGACTCAATCAGACGCGCCCTTTTTCTTGCGTGGGCATAGATTGGCGGTCCGCTCTGGCTGGGACCGATGCACGATCCCGACTTTGTGGGACAATGTGCCGACTATCTCAAAGCACATCGCGACGACTTTGGAACGGCTGACCGCATGGAGGGCATGTTTGCCATCTGCAAAGAGGTACGGTGCCCGCCTCACCGCTCTTTTATTTATTCATTTTTTCTTTATGTTTTGCCTTGATCAAGCTTGTGCTCCGACTGGCATTCACGCGATCATGCGCCGCAGGAACTGCCCGATGCTCCATTCCACTACAATGTGAGCGATCTAGCGCACACGGCGCATTGCCAGTCCATCCCCCATGACACATTCCGCTCCGCTCTGGTCAATGCGGGCTACCGCGTCTCTCCCACCCACACCAACCCGCAAGGCATGAAGACGGATGCTCCCTCCACTTTTATCTGGGATTTGCTGCGGGAATGGGTGAAAACTAACCCTGTCAAGAAGGAGCACTACGAAGGCGAAAGTCCCGGTGCTCTCATTCTTAAAGCCCCCATGACGTGCGTGACACATAACCTTGTCATGCTTCGCTAGCCTTAAGGCTCAGGCCACCCCCCCTCCCTTTCTTCTTTTTCTTTCCTGCGATATCGTCGACTCAGGCCTTGCGACTCGGTGCAATCGCTTTTGTTGACATAGGCATACGGTGGATATGACTTTTAACAAGGCATCGCGGCCCAAGAGCGTCGATGCCAAAATTGTGCGCTTCCAGGAGAACCCCACTGCCAACTGGGGTCCCAAAGCGCGCGCCGGGAGCAAGAAACGGTAAGCTTGCTTAAGCACGCTCCTGCCTGGCTGGCGCGCCGCCTCATCTTCCTGGTCGGGTGGTAGAACGGACAGCGATGGCAAGAAGACGCAGCCAAAGAAAGCCAAGGCTGACGAAGAGTAATTTGGTCATGCGCGATGGCCTTTGTTTCTGGCATTTTTGGGTGACCTGTCTGCCTTGCTGCTTTTGTTGCGGGACGCTTCGGGGGCCAACGTGGTGACACATGGCCCCTGCGGCAAACATCGGTTGACAAAATTACACAAGAAGATTAATCATTATTGTTGTATTGTTCTTGTATGTTGATTCACATGTTAAATGCGGGCTGGGTTCTGGACTAGAGGGGAAAAGACACACGCACAACGCGATTCAAGTCAGACGACTCGTGCAACCATTGGCACTGCTTTAAAGTTCGCCACTCGAGTCGGACTGGGAATCCATGTCTGCAAGCAAGTACACGGCCAAGGCTACAAGGAGAATAATGAGCATGGCCAACATGCGGAGCCACGGGCGGCGCAGGCCATGCAACACTGTGGCACGTAAATGACGATCTGCCGAGACGCTGAGGAGACGCGTTTGCACACGGTTGTCCGTTCCCTCAGGCGTGGGTACTTCGGCAAATGCCAAACTGGTCACAAACAGTGGGTGTGGTTGACATTGTTGCAATCGCTGCGGGCAAGGTACGTGAGCCGGCTGGTGGGTGAGCAGGGTGGCTCGGCTAACATGCTCAAACGGATTGGAAGATTTGGGGCAAGAATAACGTACCATCAAAGAGCGGGTTTCAAGAACATAAACGTGGCCTTCCATGTCACCAAGGCCGAGGAATTGATCATCAGCACTGGCGCACACGGCGCTCAAGGCGTCGTAGGCCAGCAGCCGCTTGCGTTGCAGAATACCCTTGTTATCAAACACGGCCTGTGGCGGGAGTGGTGGGAGGAGGCCCGGTTCAGGTCAGAAGGAAAGCAGTTGCAAAAGTGCCAAAAAGCATCAAGGGGGCCTACGTACCACAATGCTACGCAGCTTGGATGAGTGCTTGGGCAAGGGGACAAAACCCACAACCACCTCTCCGTTTTTCAAGCAGCTAGCATAGGCGGGCGTACACAGCGTGTGAGGACAGCACAGTCGGAGGTCACAGAGACGTGGCGTGGGCGTGGCATGCGGGGGTGAGTGACTGCACTGAGCCTGGTGTGACGGTGCTCACCAGCAGCAGCGCGCGCAATACCGTTCGTCGGACCTATGAGGCAGCAGGGGTCGTGGAGTGAGCAAAACACAGGCAAGGTTCACACTACAGAGGGAAGGGGGTGGATGGGCGCCGGAAAGACTGACAGTTGCAGATTGACGCGTTTGTCAAAGTTGACGGAGTAGCGCAGAGGCGTGTCCGCATCATCAACATCATCATCATGTTCGTTGTCGTCATTGGAAGGGGAGATGGCGATGGGGAGCAGCTGAGCTGCGCGCTCTCGGCTCGCCACCACCACAAACTGCCCTTCCATATCCAGCGCCACGCTGTCAATCTGTTGGGGTATGTATCGGCAGCGGCAGCGGCAGCCGCACACCAGGGGGTTGAGATGGGCAAGTGGGCGGGAAGTGCGTGACGGTGAGTAAAGGTTACCTGGCGTTTGGTGATGGATAGGGCATTAAAGTGGAGAGGCCGCATGGGTTCGCCATCTTCAAGCAGACTGGCAGTGTCGGCCAGGGCAAGCTCGCCGGTGGAGAGGGCAGCTACGAGGATGTGGCCACTAGCCGAGGCCCCAAGTGTGGTTACAAAGGCGTCGGCCTTTTCGGATTGGGTGGCCGAGCAAGACACCTGGGGGTGCAGTGATTCAACCCTACGGGTGGGCCAGACACCGTTGAACCAATGGTGAACCAATGATGAGCCCTTGTTGTACCGCGGAAGAACGGTTGCAAAGGCAAGCCGGGAAAAACGCGTGGCGCTTGTGTTTGGTGGATAAGCATCCGTGTGCGCAAGGCACCGCCAGAACATACCCCTATGGAACGGGAGGACAGAACGGAAAAGGGGAGGGTGTCATGATTGCGTGAGGATGGAAGAAACAAGCAAGCAACATACAAAACAGCGTGAAGCAGAGGTGGGACTGGAGTGCCCAGAGCAAAGCGGCAATCTTACTTCATCATCTGCTTTCAGTCGGTAAATCGTGACTCGATCGTCAATGGCGGCAGCAAGCGTCGTGGCCGACTAGGGGGAGGAATGAACAAATATGAGCGGCGACGGCGACTGCGAGGGGAAGGGAGGATAAAGTAGAAAAAGAACAGAGGGAGAGACACGAGGGGCGTGTCGTCCCACCAGAGAGGCCATGGCACTGATGGCGCCGGTTTTGTCTTCAAAGTTGGCTGTAATATTGGCACCCGTGGCGCCTATGTTCATGAGTTCCTAGTATGTAGGTGTCCAAAGGGGGGAGGAATGAAGGGTGAGGTCAAAAAAAGCGAGTTTCAAAGGGGGCACGAGAGGTGTGGTCGACACTGGGCGTACAATCATGTTGGGGACGCCATAATTGCCAGCGCCGCCACCTCCAGCAATGGCGACCCGCAGGCCAGCCTGCGTGGACTAAGGAAGGGTACAGAGACGAAGATGTGAGACCCAGGGCATTGGAGGTCGGGTAGATTGTGGCTTGTGAGGACGTGGCCAGAGAAAATTATATTAAAAAAAAAAAGCAAAAATAGGAGGAAAGCGACGAGTCAGGTCACATCCTACCTGAGCGTCTGCACGACGAGTACGTCGGGGCAGGAGGTGCATCATTGGCAAACATCGATGAGGAAAGGGTGGCCAAAGACCTAGTCCTTGTTGTCGGGCGCGTGTAGGGACGAGGACGCACCTTGGGGTAGGGTGAGAGCGTAGATGGGGTAGTTGGCCTCGTAGCAGAGCATGCTGCTCGCATCCGAACCTGTTTCGTGTCAAAAGTTGAGGTCACGGCGTGAGCAGCGGGCCAAGACGCAGGGCGCGGAGTGCAGGTGCCTGAAAAAGGACTAAACAGCTTCATACTTACTGGCTGAGCTCGCCATGCTGCCCTTTGCGTCTGCCAGGCACCAAAGCTATCCGTCCCAACTCGTGCGCTGTTTGCCAGGGGAAGATCAAAACCAGAACCGCATCAACCTTGTGAGCCAATACACACGCGATCGGAAATGCATTTCGCAGGGGACTCAAGCACACCACCACATTCAATCACCCGGCCCGCCCGCCAAATTACAGCGGCAGCGGCAGTGCCAGTGACGGTACCACTTGGTGCAACGTCATTGCCGCGCTGCCGTTTGTCGACAACTTTTTTTTTTTTTTTTTTTTTTTTTTTTTGTCAACGCAAGAGACGTGATCCACAAGTTCAAACACACCTCTTTAAAATAAATACCCTTAAAATGAAATACAACCTCGTAAAGTCGAAATCCTGACAAAGGTGATATTGTCAGAAAGAACACGTGTTGAAAACTACTGTTGACCGCGTCAAAAAAATCTTTCGCCCACAAACAAAAGGCCTTTGTTGCCGATGTTCACGCTCGTCTCTGGCGCAACAACCTTTGTCAGCGGCATCTCTGCTTTACCATGATGAAGGTTTGTAATCTCTGCTATCACCTGTATATCTCACAGTGATAAACTCATGTTGAGCCACTATCTCTGAAAAATACTCTGCTTCACATCATTCCTCTGCACTGCGGCTTCACTCTCTCTCTTTCTCTCTCTCTGGTTTTTGCGCGCAAGTGAGTCTCTCTCTCTCTCTCTCTCTCTCTCTCTCTCTCTCTCTCTCTCGGCGCGCGCGGTTGTGTGTCTGGTACGGTCGGCTCGGCTCGGCTCGGCTCGGCTCAGCTCTGTGGGTGTGCCGCCTTCCCTGCTGTATCTGAGGGGGGATTGAAACGCTGCACACCACTCGTACCCACACACGGGCGAGTTGACGTGGTGTTATTCAAATGCAATTGTCGCCTGTTGTTGGTGTTGTTGTGGCTCCGTCACTGTCCGCCCTCGCCCTCGCGCTGTTTTTTTTTTTCTTTTTTTCGTCAATGGCATGCCAATGTGGCAGCGGGGATCTTGCTGCTCGTTGGACCGTGTTTGGTCGTGTGCACTGCCTTTTTTTGTGTCTTCTTTGGGAGCGAAGTGCATGGCCTAGGTTGCTGGTCTCGAGGCTTGCCTTTTTTTTTTTTTCATTTCTCTCACGACGTGTTCATCGTTGCAGAGCGCCGAATCGTCGAAGAAGCGAGAGCACGTTCATTAGCCGCGATCTTCAGCGTGCCTGTGCAGCACTTGTGGATTGGCCGCGTGACCAGCTTACAAGTGGAAGATCATACCTTGATAGCCGTTCGTTGACATGCCTTTTCCTTTTTTTCATCATCTGCACCCTGCATTCCAATCCCCGTCCCCGCTCAGCCTCTGCTGCCCCTCGTGCCGTCTCACGTTGATCCTTCCCCATGGCCTGTTTGTGTGGTCCTGCGTTAGATTCGCCCTTTTGCCTGCTTCTGCCCAAAGCCTCCCCTTGTTGACGGGCACTGGCATCATGGAAGCCTCCTGCTTGACCCTCTCCATCGAGGTTCGTCCCACCAGTCACGGGCCAAGCGGCACCCACGCTCCTCGGCTCCCGCTGCCAGTACCCCAACCCCCCCTTGCTGCCCCTCAACCGCCGCCATCCTGCCTATGCTCGTGTTTTGCTTAGGGCGAGCGCTTGCTCAAGGCCCATGATTATGAGGGTGCCATCAAATTCTTTGAGGCTGGCCTTCGACAAGGCACCGATGACCTCGAAGTTCTCAGGTAAGAAGGGCTATTACTGACACGCTTCTCAAGCGTGCCCTTTTCGAAAGAAGTTGCTCGCAACGAGAGTTTGCCACCGCCCGGTCAAGCTTGCGCTCACCTTGGCTGCATCTGTACGTGTGCCTCCGTCACGCCTGTCTGGTCCGGGCAAATCTAGTGCCGTGTACAACCAACTGGGCAATGCCTGCTATTACCTCAAACGGTACGAGAAGGCGCTTGAGTATCATAAGAAGGATCTCGAAATTGCAGAGCGTCAAGGTGACAAGCAGGGCATGGCCAAGGCCTATGGTAACCTCGGCAACACCTTCAAATCCCTGAAGAACCACGAATCCGCTCTCAAGTACGATGCCTGCTGGCGGCGGCCCCTGTCCCTTCCTGCCCCATGGTCCACTTCTCCTGGCCGATCGCTCACATTCCAACACCATGGTTTGCTTGGTCGGTAGGTGCTGTGAACAACATCTCGAACTGACGCGTCAGTTGCGGGATCGCGTCGGTGAGAGCCGTGCCTGCTACAACCTTGGCAACGTGCATCATGACATTGGCAAGCGGGATCTGGCTGCCGGTCAACATCGCCTCAACGAGGCCAATCGCCAAGCGAAAAACCACAGCGCGCAACAGCAGCTTAATCGCGAAGGCCAGCAGCTCACCCAACAGGGACGTGTCTCTGTGGAAAAGGCCATCGACTACTACAAGACAGCCCTCGAAATTACCGTCAGCCAAAAGGACAAGGCCGGTGAAGGGCGCGCCGTCGGTAACCTTGGTAACGCCTACACCGCCATTGGCAAGTATCAAGAGGCCATCACTTACCATAACCGTCGCCTCAAACTGGCGGAGGAAGCCAATGATCTGCCCGCCCGCGCGCGTGCCTGCGGTAACTTGGGCAACGCCTTCAGTGCCTTGGCCGACTACACACAGGCGCTGCAATATTACAACGAATCTCTGGCCGTCGCTCGCGAAGCCGGTAACGAGGCCGGCGAAGGTCAGGCCTACTACTGCCTGGGCAGCACCTATTACCTTCAGAAAAACTATGAAAAGGCCATCGAAAACCACAAAAAACATCTTGAAGTCGTCACCAAGCTCAACGACAAGCAAGGCCAGGGTAAGGTCTTTGTCCAATTTCCTCACGTGTTCACGTTGCTGTGCTAGCTTGCCTTGACTCAATGAATTCACATCGCTGTGCGGCCGGGCGTTAGTGCGAGCGTGGCACAACCTGCGCAATGCCTATGCGCAACGCGGCGACAAGGCTGAAGAGCGCCGGTACGACGAACTGATCAAGCAGCAAAACCCCCGGCAGCCACGCCCCGTCGTCCAAGCCGCCCAGCCGGAACAGCGCACGGCTTCGGGCATCTCGGGTACGAGCTCGGGGAGCGGCGCCAGCGGCAAGAAAGGTGCCGCCAAAACCAAAAAGGGCGCCGGCCTCTTCAAAAAGTCTGCCGCCAAGGGCAACACGGTTGAGGTCAGTCCTGACTTTGCCACCTACCCCCGCCTGCCTTTGATTTATATCCTTTCCCCCAAACAATCCCTGTCGGAGAATTCGTTTTTCATTGACTGTTCCCTCGTATGCGCCGGTATTGGTAGGCATTTTCCGTAGAAGACTCCTCCGATGAAGAGGACGTGGTGACGACTCGTGCCGAGCCTGGTGCCGCGGGTGGAGCCAACAAGTCAGACTTTGCCTCGGAGTGGCTGGCCAGTGCAGTCAAGGAAAGCCAGCAAGAGATGCGTGAGCGCCAGTCGACGCAGCAGGCGACAGCCCACGAGACCTCCACATCAGGTCAAGACGCCAGCGAGCTGCCCATGGACTTTTTCGATATGCTGGTGGAAAAGCAACGGCAGTTGGATGATCAGCGAGCGCCGGCTCCGTCCAACGGCATGGCCCACTTTGATGAACCGGGCTCTGGCCCCGCACAAGACGAGGACGCCTTTTTTGACATGATTCTGGAAACTCAAGCCAACCGCTACGATACCCAGCGCTCTGCCGCCGCCGAGCCCTCTGCAGTGGAACGCAACGTGGATCCCGTCAATAAGGGTAAGTGCACCGACGTAGATCTGTAGCTCGGAAGATAAGGGGGGGCGTGCAGAAGAAGGCGTTTATCCATGATGCGTTCATTTGATGTGTGTGGTGTGTTCTTGCGCCACAGGTACGGCCTCTCCGAGCAAGACGGTCGGCGACGAACTGGACGACAACATGAGCTTTTTTGAGATGCTGGCAGTGGCCAAGAAGAACAAAGCGTAGGCGCGCGAGCGCGTCACCCCCTTTGTTTTTTTCTCTTTCATGGATGTTTACTGCTTGTGTGCTGTTCTCTTCTTTTTCATCCATCGACTTTCCAACACACTCTCAGCCTTCTTTTGTCCGTTGCTCTGGTAGCTTGTTGACTGGTCTGTCCATCTGGCTCGTGCTCCCACTTATTGTTCTGTACCCCTTGTGTGTGGAAAGAGCTTCTCTGCAGCGACCTGTCCATTGCAAGGAAACACGGTTGCGTGGAATTGGAAAAACGCGATGGCTAACAAGCAGTATTGTCAATGGAATGTACAAATGTTAGGGCAACTGAGGTTGAATTGTTGCTTGGTGGTGCATATTCTCGTTCTTGCTGTCGCAAACAACCGCTTGATCTTGACACATACAAAGGAGCCAAGCGGGGGAGAAGAAGGAAAAATGTACAAGTCGCGAGGTGCCGAGGCAGGCGGCCAACAGAATACGAGCACAAAACCCAACAACACATGAGATGAAAACGAAAAAAAAAGAGATGATGATCAAGGCAAGATGCGATCAGAACAAAACACGGATGGAGCGTTTTGAGCCAGGAATTAGTTGATCTGTGAGTGAGGGGCGCGCTTTAGTCCTTCTTAACGGGCACCTTTGAAATGGTAGCACGCAAGCGTTCAAGAAGGAGGGCCTTCTTCTGTTCGTGCGTCATCTTGTCCTCGAGGTCAACAAAGTGCTCGGCGAGAACGTCCCATTGTTTGCTGAGAAGCCAGTGGAGCAGCTCGCCTTCCTCGCAGTCACGGAAGATGGTGGCCTTTGAAGCGGCATAGTTGGCTTTGTTGCGCTCGTAATGAGCCGGGTACTCGGTCCAATGGCAAGTGCTGACGTGATGAACGACCTGCACGGGACGCAAGGGGCAAGCGCAAACAGCCGAGATAGATGACAGACAAATGAGCCGAGAAAAAAAAAGAAAGAAAAAAAAAAAAAAAAAAAAAAAGAGGAGGCGGCAGAAGGAAGAAGCGTTTTTTTTAAGGCAAAAGCGCTTGGCTGTGAATGAGATCGTACGTGGTAGTCTTCATTCCAAATGTTATCCTTGCCGTTAAGGATGGTCACTGAGTTGACATAGGCGTTGGAGGGATCTGCATTGGAAATTTTGAAAAGAAGAAGAAAAAAAAAAAAAAAAGAATAAAAAGCACGCAGGAGAGGGTAGCTTGATCGTGATAGTTGGGGTAGAAGAAGGGTGGGGGTTCAGAAAGTCAGGGACGGCAATGGAAGAGACAAGAGGACGCACCATTGGGATCCATCCAGGCATGCCAGAGGTAGGAAATCAGAGCTAAGGGGAGGAACAAGATATGGATGAGTAAGGATGGTGCAGGGTGGTGTGGGGAAAAGGGGAGGAGGAGGAGGGGCTTACCAAAGAAGATGACGGATTCGATAAAGGGATACACGACATAGAAGAGGCCGAATTTCCAATCGAAGAAGAGGGAGGCGATCATGATGCCTTGGTGGACCACAACGCCCGAGAGGGAGCGCCAGCCGAGCTCCACA